ATATATATATATATATAAATTGGAGTTTTTGTGAAAAAAAAGAAAACAGTTTTTCCAAAATATATAGATTTATTTTATTTTGTTTTATTTTTTATTTTATTTTATATATTTATTTTATTTATTTTATTTATTTATTTTTTCTGGGATCTATTTAACCCCACAGTGCACAGTAGAGTTAATTGTTCATTATGAAATTATATATTACACGTAACTATTATGTTGCGTAGACGTTACATAAAAATAGGTCTGTTAATATATTAGGTGGTAAACTTAGTTCCTGCGGTTTTTTTGTTTCAAAAACTCATTTATTTCGACATCAAAAGCAAAAAATACATTAATCGAAGTATTTTCTCTCGCTAGCTATACATTTTTCCCATCTTTCGGGCAACGCGTAGATTCCGCGACGATAGAACGATTGGTCTTTTGATGCAATCCATTCGTCGATCCATTTTCGCACATCCTCGTAATTTCTGAAGTGTGTATCCACCAAGCCGTGCTGCATCGACCGGAACAAGTAATAGTCCGAAGGAGCTAAGTCTGGTGAATCCGCTGGGTGCGGGAGAACTTCCCACTCGAGCTGCATCAGTGTTTCTTTGACGGCTTTGGCAACGTGTGGTCGAGCGTTGTCGTGCAAAAGCATGACTTTACGTCGATTGCTGGCTACTGCTGGCCTTTTTTCCAACAATGCTTCATTCAGACGGTTTAATTGTGATTGATATCGATCCCCCGTGATACTTTCGTTCGGTCTGAGTAGCTCATAATAAACGACGCCGTGCATATCCCACCAAATGCAAAGCATTGCTTTGTGGCCATGAATATTTCTCTTTGGTGTGGATGTCGATGGTTGGCCAGGGTCTACCCATGATTTTCTTCGTTTAGGATTATCGAAGTATATCCATTTTTCATCGCCAGTCACTATGCGCCACAAAAAACTCTTCTTTTTCTGCCTGGCGAGCAGAGAAATAGAGATGTTTAAGCGATTCGCAATGGCATTTGCGGTTAATTCGTGTGGTACCCATTTTCCCTCCTTTTGAATTTTTCCCATTGCATGTAGACGTTTGGAAACAGCCATCGGAGTAACATTTAATGCTGCAGACAATTCTTGGAGCGTTTGAGTAGAGTTTTCGTCCAATAATGCCTGCAAATCGGTGTCTTCAAACTTTTTCGGTTGGCCTGAGCGTTCTTTATCATTGACATCAAAATCACCACTCTTAAATCGCTGAAACCATACTTGGCATGTTCTTTCCGATGGAGCATAATTGCCATAAGCTTCGAAAAGCAATTTATGAGCTGCAGCTGCAGTTTTTTTCAAGTCAAAGTAATGAAGCAGCACATGTCGAAAAAACAACTTATCACGTTCCATATTTAATCAAAAGAAAAAATAGCACTGCTCGCTTAAATGAATTTCTTTGCACTGAATTTTATTGACAAATGTCTAACCTCTAAAATGCAGCCAGTTTCAGATGTCAAAATAAATTACACCTACAAAATTACACCTAACGTCATCTAACTGTGAGCCGCAGGAACTAAGTTTACCACCTAATATAT